TGTCCTTTTCTGTAATAGTTACAAATATATCGGGATCCTCACCAAGTTCGATTGCCCTTTTTCTGAGGCGCTCTTCGTGCTGGGCCCTGCTCAGAAGTATGGCAGATGGTATTTCATTGATAGGCTTGGAAGAATCAGTTTTTTTAGGAGACGTATCCAGCACTTCACTTATAGGCTTAATAGGTTCGAGAAGCTTGCTAGTTTCGAGCTGGTCCTTTTGAGACCGCTCAACGATTTTTGGCTCAGGTAGGTTAGACGTCTTAGAAGTTTCGGAAGTCCCAGATGTTGAAGCAACTGGTGCTTCGGCTTCTTCTTCCACATAGTCGAATAGGGCTTGGGTTAGATTTTTCTGTTTATCTGCTTTCTTATCACTAGGAGAGAGATTCTTTTCTGCCTGAGGTGGGATTATTTTTGGAGGAATAAATTCTGGCACATTGAATATGGGTATGTCTGTTGTCCCATTTTCAGGTAAGTCGGGTTGAGGTGTATCAAAAAATTCTTCGATATCATCTAGACCGGATTCACGGAGCTTAGTTATGATTTTGGAGTGATTGAGAATGTATTGCCATTCCCTTTTCCCACCACTTGCCCTCTTGCGTTTGATATTAATCTCTGAGAATTTCTTACCAAGAATATTGTTAGAAAATGGTTTTTCCCCATTGCCTCCACACCAATCAAAATATTCCTGATATAATATATTGCTACTTAGCTTAGCTACTTTATCTTTAGGCCATGGTGCAATATAATCAATTATGAATCGAATGGGATTAGGTAGTTGGTCTCGCATGGTTTCTATTTTCATTTTGGTTGAAGGAATCTTATGTGGCTTCCATCTAGAAAGATTAAGACTAAGCAGATATGACATAAAAGATCCAGGCGTATTAGGATGCTCGAGAATCCCTCCCAATTGGTCAAAATATGCAAAATTATTTTTACAGCGGGGAGAGACATCTAAACATATGATACGCCCATCTCCCATTTCTACTCGAATTGGGGTATCATGATTACTTAAAATCATAAATCCAGCAAAATGATTACAATCTTGGGATTCAAGGCCTTTGCGCTCAATTGAGACATAGTTTTCTGTAATAAGGGCTTTTAAATGATCATTTGCCTTATGCCATTCACCACTAGCCATTCCTGTTTCATTCATAATAATAAGTTTTCGCGCTTGGATGGGGCTATTAAACCGTCCAAGAATCTTCCTTAGATCAGAAGTCGAGAATACAAGGTCTGGCCTGAATAAACTTTTTCGAATAAAATCAGTGATAATATTCTTCCCACATCGTGGTGGGGAGCGTAAAACAAGAATCGTCCCAGGAATTATACTTGGATACTGAACTAGGAATGCAAGCCATTTTAGAACATATTCGGAAAGATTTTTATCTCCATTACACCAGATATTTTCTATATGCCAGACGATGGGTTTTACGAGATCAT